CGCCAAATGTCTAAATAAGCTATTTCGAAATAAGTTACCAATTTGCATAGCTCAAATTGTGTAGTTTATTTTGAGCTTCGCGCAATGGTAGACATGCCCTGACACAGTTTTCTTCTCCCTTCTGCTCAGAGAAACTGACAATTTTTCGTTGGTAGAAACAGCACAACTGTTTGTGTCAAGCCTTTTCCTTCTTAGAAACTTCTCAGGAGTTTTCTTTAGCTCCCTCTCTATAGGGAACAACTCGCTCTGGGAGATCTTATTCAGTTAGCTGGTGCTACCAGAGCCTTCCTCACTCCAAACATTGAGAACTCCTGTGGTCTGTTTCACAACTCACAGCCAACCTTGCTTACTCCTAGTCACATAAGCCCCTTCAATCAGGTGCACCTTCAGGAGACTACACCGAGCCAGGGTGACTGGCCTTTAGGGAGCAAAGGCTCCACAGTAGGTATGCTGAGCTGCAGCTGTGTTTAAAAGAATAGAACATGCTGTTACATGGAATTAAGTGTGAGATCATCAAAAACACCTATCTAAAATTAGCTGGAGGGTGAACTTTAAGTATTAGCTAGCTATTCAATAAGCAATGCCTTGTGTGTGCTACCAGGTAATATAGGCCTGAAAACATATTTAGGTGTACTTAGGTCTCTGCCCGCAAGTTATCTACATTCTGAGGCAGATGGCTCCGTAGGTTACCTACAGACTAACCACAAAATCTGTCTCAGTACATACTCTGAAAAATTATGCTGAATAAGCAAGAATTGGTACACTTGCAAAGAACAATTTAAGATTTGCAAAACCTGATACTGATAAGTACAAAAAACTCCAGGTGTTTGGAGTTGTAATTTTTTAAATCTCTCTTCTAAATGATTAACAATTGTAATAACTCAGCTTATCTTTACTTATTTTTGTACAAAATGTCATTAACACAAGAGCAACAATGTGGCTGAGCTAGTACTTTTAATTGGACCAACTTCTGTTGGTAAGACAGACAAACTTCTGAGTTTAATAAATGATTACTAAAGTTTACTAAACGCAGTAGCTTGTCTCTCATAAACAGCAGTTGGTCTAACAAAAAACAAACTAGGGGAAAATAGGTAGCAGAATGGCTAAATCACATATGAGGTCTGAGACAAAACAGCTCAAGGCAGATGACTATCTACCTTATAATCTTTAGCCTAGTGCACAGGATACTTATGCAGAAGTGGGAAATTCTGCCTCCCTCTAACAAAGAGAAGGGAGTTTGAATAAAGATCAGCCACCTATAAGGTGAGTGCCCTAACCACCCCTCTATGGAATATTCTGATTAAAGACAATCTCAATTGAAGTTGAGATTGAGGTCGTTCTACTTCAATTAAGTAATCAAATCATAAACTATGAATTGGGCAAGTGAAAGTGTTGAATAATTCTGTAGCCTTGGTGTTAGGGCACCTCATTTATAAGGTAACTAAGTCCTATTCAGATTCTTTGTGCAAATAAATTTCACTGTAATCAAGTTTAATTATTCCATAGATACATCTAATAGTTACAGAACAAGCTCATACAAACATACAAGTTAAAGTAATTTAGACAGCATAATAAATAAAATGTTTATTTCAGAAAGAGTGCATTTCCATGAGTGTCTACTTAAAACTGAATTAAATGAAACATAATATTGAAGAATACCTGTACAGTAAGAATGTAGTACCTATTCACTTTATAATATTAACTACTACTACAATATTAACTACATCTACATTTATGTAGATGCTTAACTTTACTTGTGCGTATTCTTACTGATGTTAATAGGACTACCCACCTGAGTAAAGCTAAATGCAAAAATACACCATTGAATAGATGTGTATTCAGGGAAAGTATTTTCCCCTTGTTTTTAAAATGATTTCTCATATGGATTTTAAAGAATATACTGATAGCATGTATACTAGCACAAGATTTTAAGTCATTCTTTCAAGGAAACTTTGAGCGTTGGACTAGAAAAGCTATGGCACAAGAATACTAAACTTCCATCAGCTTGATATGCTTTCTGGAAAGCAAAGGGTTGCTTCTTTTAATTTCCTTATGAACTCTAGTTACTCTAAAAGTACAAATATATTTTAAAGATGTTAATGTGCTGTTTGCTATTTTTGATTAAGACAGTAAATATCAGTTTCTTGCCTCGGATGTATTTTCTAAATTTGAAACTCTCATTTGATTACACTGAATGCTGTTGTAGAACTCTTCAATACTGTCAGTAATTCTGCTAGATGACTCTTGAGCATATTATTGAGTTAGGCCCTTATTCTGTAAACACTACTTCTGTGTACAGAACATACCCAGGGATTTGTATGAGTGAGTCCTAAGGCCTTGTCTGATCACATAAATCACACTGATTTAATGAATGGAGCTAAATTGGCACAACTTCTGTGTGTAGACAAGACAAAATTTTAAAAGTATTTAGTAATCTGCCCTTGTGCTTTTGAAAATTCCAGTAGATGCCTGCCGGTACTTTTTAGTTGCCAAATACTTAATCTTGCCCTAAAAGCAATTAATGATTCCATTCACTTCAGAAGGACTAGTCATGTAAGTAAGTCAGTTGGTACTGGGCCCTAAATCTGTCCTTTCCATTTCCAAGAATTTAATTTGCAAGATAATGTACATACCGGTAACTTTCACTCAGAGGCACACATCTATGACTTAACTATAATATCAATATTTTTAAAAGGCATGTAATCTATAGACCTATACTATGAATACTTCTGACTGCACACTTTGCTGAATATATATTTAAGTCAAAGTGATTTCCCCAAAATTAAGAAAACATAATACCATTAAAGACTGAGTTGAGTCATAATTGTTTATTTAAAAAAATCCCTTTTCTCCTACCCGTAAGTACCACCAAGGCCCTGATTTTGCTAGTTATTACATCTGGTCAGATCTCTGTGTTTGTGCAAAGCTCCAATTATAGGATTAGGGCCATAGTACAACCAATGGGAGTTAAATGGGTGTAAAGCTAAGCACATGTGTAAATGCTTCCAGGATGAGGTAAAAAAAATTACTCACATAAGATACAGAATCCAAGTCCTTACTATTATAGTGTTTAATTATAAAATATTACCATAGCTAAATTACTGAAGGTTATAGAAAAGTTTCACAGTCATCTAAAAAAGAACTCAAAAGATCCCAGACCACAATTATCACGGGCAGTTTGCTCAGAGGATGTTTGGCATTAAGTGGAAAAGAAAAGTGATTATAGATACCTCAAGCAGTTATTGTTTGTGGCTTCTAGGTACTACAGTAGTGATGGGGAAATATGAAATTTTTAAAAGTAAATAATTAAGCAAACTGTGTATTGTGGCTCTTCCAGGCAGGTGTAACAGTTCAGTCTGACCTGAATAGATATATGTAAACATTATGACAAACCCGAAAAAAAACCCAAGGGAAAGTCTAAGCCAAACTACTTTTCTATAAGAACACGCTGGTGACAGTTAAAAGGAGGAAAAGCATCTAATTCTCTTTATATGGATGCCCGCTATTTCCGAGAGCCCGTAGATTTTAAAGCAACTGCGTACTACTTTCCCACTACCTCTGCAAAAATCTGAATGGGGCAAAAAACCAAACCAAACCAAACCCAACCCTTCCCGCCCCCCCCAAAAACCCACCCGTTGAGGGTGTTAAAAGACTAGAAACACCTCCAGGTCCTGCTGGGAGTGCGGCACGCAAGCAGAGGCGGGAGAGAAGATAATGTTCAAAAGCAAGAAGAGTAAATATGGGCCCCTCGGCCCACTTCGCTCCAGACGCTGCGGGGCCAACAGTGGCTGGCTGAGTATTCCGCCTAGATCTTATAAGGGCGCGAACTTCCCGCAGCCCAGGGGGCACGGGTAATAACTGACTCTGTCAGCGGGGGGATCCCGGACCATGGGATCAGCAGGCAGGGGCCCAGTCTGAGGCCGAGTTAGGAGCCGCGCACACGGCCGGTGCCAGAGTTGGGAGTTACTGAGTGGGGGGAAGGGAGTCCACGGCTGTAGTGAGGGGCTGCCCGCTAGGCGCTGTAACCACGCCCCCCGGGGCCTCACGCACTCGATTCCCCCCCCCCCCCCCCCCCCCCGCACACGGCCGA